AGTATTTGAGTGGTTAATTGAAAATAAGAGTTTCTCAGGGGCCAGGCGCTGGTGGCTCATGCCTGTAATCCTAGCTACTCAAGCTGCCAAGGTCTGAGGATTGTGGTTCAAAGAAAGTCCCTTTGAGACTCTTATTTACAATTAAGCACTCAAACACAGGAAGTGGCACTGTGGCTCAAAGTGGTAGAATACTAGCTTTGAGCACAAAAAGGCTCAGGAACAATGCCCAGGCCCTGAGTTAGAGCCCCACAACTCACAAAAAAAAAGTCTCATGGGAACTTTTCTGCTCAGGCTGCCTTCAGACAATGATCCTTAGATCTCAGCCTTCTTAGTAGCTAGGATTACAGGCATGAGGGCACCCAATAGGAAAATCTTTTTTTCTTTTTCTTTTTTCTTTTGCCAGTCCTGGGGCTTGAACTCAGGGCCTATGCACTGTCCCTGAACTTCTTTTGTTCAAGGCTAGCACTCTACCACTTGAACCACAGTGCCATTCCAGCTTTTTCTGTTTATGTGGTACTGAGGAATCAAACACAGGGCTTCATACATGGTAGGCAAGCATTCTACCACTAAGCCACATTCCCAGAAGGGGAAATCTTTTATGTGAATTTTTAAGGGAAGATATAGTGTCCCAGACAGATAGGTGCTTCAGTAGTCCAATGTTTGAAAATGTAGCCTCTTCTACAATGTGGGATGTGTGCATCTGATCTCCTTCACATAGCTATAAGTACAGTGGATTAAAGAAGACATCAATGACCAATGCTCCTGTGTAGATCTGGGGGACTTTTAGCTAGTTGTTGAGATCAATGTTTCCTGCAACCACCCTTCCATTTGGCCTTCTCACATAATTTGGGATTAGAGAGAGCACTGGAAGGGAGGGTCAGTGCATTCCTAACTGACTCAATCTACAGAAGATAGACTACCAACAAGCACGAGTGGCTCTTGCTTGTAATCCTAGTTACTTTTTTGAGGCTGAGGTCTGAGGATCTAAGTTCAAAGCCAGCCCAAGCAGGAAAGTTCATGAGACACTTGTCTCCAATTAACCATCAAAAAGCTGAAGTAGAGCTATGGCTCAAGTGGTAGATTGCTAGCCTTGAGAACAATAATCTCAGGCACCAGAGTTCAAGCCCCAGGACCAGAACACACACACACACACACACACACACACACACACACACACACACAAGATAGACTAGCTGGAAGCTAGTCCTTGAGAGACAGAGGCACAGAAGTAAGGAGAATCTTCAGAGAATTGGGTCTTAGTGAAGGAAAGTGACATGATTTCACTCTCACTGTAGAAAATCAGCAGGAGAGGTGCTAAGCATGTTCTATACCTCACTCTACGCAATGTTTTTTGGAAGGTACAACTTGCAAACAATAAAATTGTAAATTTAGCTGAAACTCTATAGTTTTAAATGAGCAAATAAAAATGGAAATAGCAAGAGTTCAAGCCCCACGACCGACAAAAAAAAAAAAAAAAACTATAAAAATGGAAATAGCTGAGGCTGGGAAGGTGGCTCAGTGGTAGAGTGCTTGCCTCACATGCATGAGGCCCTGGGTTCGATTCCTCAGCACCACATAAGCAGAAAAATCTGGAGGTGGTACTGTGGCTCAAGTGGTAGAATGCTAACCTTGAGCTAAACAGCTGAGGCCCAGAGTTCAGGCCCCATGACCAACAAAAAAATGGAAATAGCTATAGTATGAATATGATGTTTTGAAATATAGATATATTTTTGGAATAGCTAAATTGAGCTATCTAACATACTCATTACCTGAATTGGAAGCATAGCTCTCTATTGGTGTACTTTGCTGACATATGTAAAACCCTAGAGTCCATCTCCAGCACTGCAAAACAACAACAAAAATTCATATGCATTATATTATCTAACATATGAGTCATTTTTGTGATAAAACCACTTAGAAATGTACTCTTCTAACAATTTCTAAGGATAGCCAGGTGCCGGTGGCTCACACCTGTAATCCTAGCTACTCAGGAGGCTGAGAACTGGGGATCGAAGTTCAAAGCCAGACAGGCAGAAAAGTCTGTGAGACTCTTATCTCCAATAAGCCACCAGAAAACTGGAAGTGGTACTGTGGCTCAAGTGGTAGAGTGCTTGCCTTGAGCTGAAGAGCTGAGGGACAGCGCCCAGGCCCAGAGTTCAGGCCCCACGACTGGACCCCTCCCCCCAAAAAAAGAAACTCTTCATCAAAACGAAAGCACAACCAGGCACTGGAGGCTTATACCTATAATACTAGCTACTCAGGAGGTAAGATCTGAGAATCACAGTTCAAAACCAACCTGAGAAGAAAAGTGCATGGGACTTTTACAATAAGCTACCAAAAAAAAAAAACCAAAAAAGAAAAAAAAAAAACCTGGAAGTAGAGCTGTGATTCAAGTGGTAGATTGCTAACCTTGAGCAAAAAAAAAAAATTTAATAAAGCTCAGTGATAGCATCCAAACACTGAGTTCAACCACAGGACTAGCACACTCAAAAAACCAGAAGTGGAAGTATGACTCAAGTTGTAAAGGGGCAGCCTTGAGCAGAAAAGTCCAGGGAGAGCTCATGGCACCCAGTGCAAATCCCACTGCCAGCACCATTTTTTTTAAAGGAAGTAGAGTGATTGGGGCCATGGCTCAAGTGGAAGAATGCCTGTCCAGTAAACACAAGACTGATTCCAAATGCCAGTGAGAGAGATGAGAGGAGAGGAAAGAGCAGAGGAGGGGAGGAGTGAGGATGGGGAAGAGAGAGAGAGAGAGAAGAGGGGAGGAGAAAGAGAGAGGAGAGGAGGAAAGAGGAGAGGAAAGAAAGAAGGAAAGAAAAAGAAAGAAAGAAAGAGGAAGGAAGGAAGGAAGGAGGAGAAAGACAAAGGAGAGAAAGAAGGAAAGAGGAAAGAGGAGAGAGAGAGAAACAGAAACAGAAAGACAAAAAGAAAAACTTGGAGAAGTTTAAATCTATCCTTATAGGGTGGGGGGAAAGCAAGGCTGGAGAGTAGAGTGTGAGCCTTTTATAAGGAGATTAGTACCAGAGGCCTCCAGCCCCCTAGAATGGCAGGTGCTGTTCAATCAAAGGGAGAATGGTCCGAAAGGCATTGTGCCCCTCCCATTTCATTCCTAGGGAGCTTGGGCTTCAAAGGCAGATTCTTCCCCCCCCCCCTTTTGTTCAGTCCTGGGGCTTGATCTGAGGGCCTAGGCACAGTCCCTGGGCCTCTTTGTGCTCAAGGCTAGTGCTCTACCACTTGAACTGCAACACTACTTCTGCCTTTTTCTGAGTAGTTTATTGGAGATAAGAGTATAGACTTTCCTGCCAGGGCTGGCTTCAAACCGAGATCCTCAGTTCTCAGCCTCCTGAGTAGCTAGGATTATAGACATGAGCTACCAGCTCCTGGCAAAGGCCTATCTTCTTAAAGTCTACATAGTTTTGTCTTTTTCAGAATGACATATAGTTAAGAGTCTTGTGAATTGTCCTTTCCCCTGTTTGAGGGTTTTTTTGTTGTTTTGTTTTGTTTTTTGTTGGTTGTGGGACTTGTACTCTGGGCCTGGGCACTGTCCCTGAAATCTTCAGCGCTCTACCACTTGAGCCACAGAGCCACTTCCTGAGGATGTTTTTTTTTTTTCTCTTTCTTTCAAGTTCTTTTCCTAAGTACTGAGTGATCAATGATTATTGACTAATATTTACTTTCTGTGTGTGGTGCTAGGGATAGATCCAGGGCTTGCACATGCTGGGCAAGCATTGCACCACTGAGCGCATTGCCAGACCCTTGACATTTAGGAATGCCACTATGTAAATCTCATTAGAAGCTCTCTGTATGGGAACAGGCTAGGCAATGCTGGCTTGAAGGAGAGCTGATTACTTTGCTGCAGAATCTCTGGATGCCAATGCAAAACTCTTTCTCTGAGGTTGTTCAGTTTCCTTTTAGAAGAAATATCTTGACCAATCCTATAATCCTAGCTACTCAGGAGGCTGAGATCTGAGGATCTTGATTCAAGCCAGCCTAGGGAAAAAAAAGTCCTTGAGACTCTGATTTCCTATTTAGCACCAAAGAAAATGCCAGTAAGGCTCAAGTGGTAAAGTGCAAGACTTACTAACAGGTACTGATGGCTCACACCTGTAATCTTAGCTACTCAGGCTGAGCTCTGAGGATCATGGTTCAAAGCCAGCCCAGAAAGAAAAGTCCCTAAGAGATTTTTTTTTTTTTTGTCAATCATGGAGCTTGAACGCTGGGCTTGGGCACTGTCCCTGAGCTCTTCAGCTCAAGGCAAGCGCTCTACCGCTTGAACCACAGCGCCACTTCCGGTTTTGAGTAGTTAATTGGACATAAGAGTCTCACAGACTTTCCTGCCTGGGATGGCTTTGAACCATGATCCTCAAATCTCAGCCTCCAAAGTAGCTAGGATTACAGGCATGAACCTCTGGCGCTTGGCCCTGAGAGACTCTTATCTCCAATTAACCACTCAAAAAATGGAAGTGGAGCTGTGTAGCTCAAAGTGATAGGGCACTAGCCTAGGGCAAAAGAGCTCGGGGAAAGTGCCTATGTCCTGAGTTCAAGCTCCATGATCAAAAAAAAAAAAAAAAGGCTGGGAATGTGGCTTAGTGGTAGAGTGTTTACTTAGCATGTTTGAAGCCTTGGGTTTGATTCCTCAGTACCACATAAACAGAAAAAGCTGCAAGTGGCACAGTGGCTCAAGTGGTAGAGTGCTAGCCTTGAGCAAAATAAGCTCAGGAACAGTGCCTAGACCCTAAATTCAAGCCCCAGGACTGGAAAAAAAAAACTCAGGGGCTGTTTGTTTTGCTGAACACTTGGTAGATGAACTCTGAAGTAAAAATTATTTTTTGATACTGTCTTCCCCTCTATTTTCTCTATTCTCTCTTCTATAATTTCTATTAACTGGTTATAGTTGCCATTATCTTTTATTTTCTCTCTATAAGAATTATGCCTACCTTTGGTCCTCAGCTCCAACCACACCTGAACTCCTCCCTGCCCAGGAGTTCTGGCCATACAGTGGCCCCTCCCTCTCTCCACCCAGACCCACCTGAACTATTGTCCCAGGCCCATACAGATGCCAGGCAAAATCCCAGGTATGTGCTGGCTGGGCAATCCACCTAGGCCCAGCTGTAAACATCCCATGTGGGCCCAACTGAAAAGCCCCCACCTTCCTTGACTTAATGGCTTTTTCATTAACCTCTGCCTCCTTGCTCAGAGCCCTCCAAGCTTACTTTGGGCTAAACAGCCACCTGAAAGACCTCGTGGCCTTTGCCTTCATAAGCGGTGCATGCCTTGTGGACGGCCACCCTGCTATGGCTTGAGGTATTATTGCTCCCCTGTGTAAACCCAGAAAAGGCTTTATCTCTCCCCTATTCTCTCTCCTTTTTATCCTGTCCCCGGACTCTGATCTCCAGGCAGGAGGCTCTTCACTGTTCGACCGATTCCACCCACCACCTAAAAGCCTTCAGGACAAGGTAACCAGCTGGGTCTGTGGTGGAGGCACCCCAATACGGACCCCCGGACTGCAGGAGTCCCTCCCTTCCTTTCCTGTCTGTGGGCTCCCCAGAAACTCCAGGAGTCTCTCTCTTCCTAACCCTCTGACCTCCTTTAATTAGGACCTTTGGAGATGCCCTCTCCTAATTATTGGGATCCGTCTGTCTGCCTTCCCAAAACACCGGGACGCCTGAAGCAGAGGGACAGGCTCCGTAGTCCTACCAAATTTTCCAAGTTGTCTCCCAGAGACACCCCATTGTCATGCCTGTGGTCTAATCTTGAGACTTGGGGCTGACTGATTTACAGTCAAGAAAACCTGACTTGTTTTTCTACCAAAATCTGGTCTCATTACCATGGCCACCGCTGGCCTAAATTCAGAACCTTAGGTCTTACTCTTACTGATTGAAACAATTCTCCAACGAAATGGCAGAGTCCAAGGTCCCCTAAACCTAAGCTCTCCTCTACCTCTGCTCCAGAAAACCCTCCCTTGATTGTTCTGTTCTGTCCACCAAGTACTTCTCTGACCTCCACTCCAGAGCCTCCGCCCCTCCCTGTTCTCCTGCCTTGCACACCAAGGCCTTCTCTGCCATGAGCCTCCCAACCATCTCCTCGAAAAAGTAACTCCTTATCTTGTAGCAGCTCAATCTGTCTCTCACCCCCTTTTCTCTGTCTCTCCCCCTCCCTTTCTCTCTTTCTCTCTTTTCTTCGATAACCTTCAGCACCAAAGAGCCTTTTCTCCTCCCTTGCTCTTTTAACTACATTCTTACTATTTGCAGTTGGTCCAGATTCTCTAGGCTAAAACTGTCTGTCTGCTTCAAGAAAACTCCTTCTGCTGACCCCTGTCCCATGCCTGTCGCCGGTCTGCCTGCCTGTGTAGCTGACACAAGGTGGGGGTGAGCATAGGCCTCCAAAGGTAGAACAACAAGCTAATGGCCCTGCTAAAAATCCCTCTAAACAAACCCCTCCGAACTTATACATTTCTCAACCCCCTTCTATGGCTAATACACCTTCTTCCCTTCCAGACCCTAAATAAATGGGCCTCTATTCTGGCTCTTTCCTTAATCTGTCACTGACAGTGGCTGGCTGGCAAACACACTGAGGCCAGCCTCTCTCTTTTACTGCTCCCTCCCTTTCCCACCCAAAAATCCCATAATAAAAACAAACCAGTCTTTTTTGTCTTTGGGATGCAAACAATAATCCAATCCTTTTCTCTTTTCTGAGTCCTCTTTCCTTTTCACTTCAAAATCTAGATTCTTAATTTCTCCTCTAGGAGACTGCAGAAGGAAAGTCCCCCCTCTCTCCTCTTCCAATAACTCTCTCTATCCAATTACTCAAACACTCACTTTTCAGTCCCTTCATTATGCCATATCCTCCTTTTAAAAGTGCTGCCTCTTCCCCTTACAAACCTGTTCAGCCAAACCCTCCCCCAAGTCTCTCTACAGGCCCTGAAAGCTAACACCTAGGAAGAGACAAAGGCCCCAAGATGGGTCTTTCTACAACCACCACTCTTCCATCAAGGTTAGTCCTTTTTACTTTTCTACAGGTTAAAATGTTCAATTCATATACTTATCTGCCTCATCATCAAAACTGATTTAAAGGTTTTCTGCTCTTGTTATCAAGGTTTGTTTAAAGGTAGAAATTCTGTTTGTCAAAATTTGCCTTGCATTTTCTTTGGTGTTGCCTACTTTTCCAACATTGAGCACGTAGTGTTATCATACTGGACAAAACAATATCACTTTGCCACTGGAATTAAAAAAAAAAAAAACTTACGGCCGATTTTCATTTTTTTAAAAACCTAAGCAGGCCTTAAAACTTTTAAGTGTATGTGTGTGAGTGTGTGTGTGAACATGTTCAATATAATCTCATTGTAATACCTAAAAGGAATGAGACCCAGCTCAGCTCCTAGCCAGCTGTGATAAAAAAAAAACCACCAGTAAGAAGATAAATATTGTCTTAAAATGTTTGTTCCACATATTTGTTTCTGTCCTCAGAAAGTTGGAGTATGTAACAGATGATACGAGTATGCCTTAAAAGACAGCTTATGAGTAAAGTTGGTATGTAATTGTTGGCTGTGATTTACATTAAACCTAGCATGTCATTCTTTATGTCCATCTAAAGTTAGGTGTCTTTAACCAGTCTATGTATAAATTTGTAAGCAACTAAGCAGGAGATTTGACAATCCATCCGAGGGATGAAGTCTAGCCCAGATCCTGCCTGGACCATCCTACCTCCACCATAGTAGACTGGACTCTTGCCTGACTCCATCACACGCAGCTGATTCTTGGTAAAAGACTGCTTTAGATTTACACAAACTAACACTCTTTTTTTTTTTTTTGTCGGTCATGGGGCTTGAACTCTGGGCCTGAGCACTGTCCCTCAGCTCTTCAGCTCAAAGCAAGCGCTCTACCACTTAAGCCACAGCGCCACTTCCGGTTTTCTGGTGGTTTATTGGAGATAGGAGTCTCACGGTCTTTCCTGCTTGAGCTGGCTTTGAACCGCGATCGTCAGATCTCAGCCTCCTGAGTAGCTGGATTACAGGCATGAGCCACCAGCGCCCCTCTTGTGGGACACTCTCTGTAAACCTTACCCAGCCTGACCTGAAAAAGAGAGCCTCTTGTGAACTTTGGTTATCAGGTTTTCCAGGCAGCCAAGCTATACCATAGCTATGCTAAAACTCTCATCCCATCTATTGAGTTTTGTCATTGCAGAAGTCTGGCAGGTATTTGTTGATCAATTCTTGACAGGGTGCACGTAAGCTCTACTTGTTCCCATTGATCTCCTTGTTGCTTTAATGGAAATAAAGGGTTTTATATGGCAAAGATTGCAGTTCAAAGCCAGCCTGGGCAGAAAACTCCCTCTGAGACTCTATCTCCCAACTAACCTGCAAAGAGCCAGGCTGGAAGCTGGCTCAAAAATTAACCAGCCAAATGCTAAATGTGGCCCTGTCACTCAAAGTAGTAGCACACTAGCCTCGAGCAGAAGTGCTCAGGGAAATACTCAGGCCTTGAGTTCAAAGCCCATATCCTAGCCACAAGCACCTAGACCCCCAGGACGAGGTGGAAAAGAGTAAGAGGAGATGATGTCACATCAGCCACTTTGTGCCTGCCCTTTCAAAATTAACCAGAGCCAGGAGGTCAATAGAAGCAAGTTGAGAACCTTGTCCATCTAATGTCCATATCTGTCTAACTTCTAACTGGACAGAAATTTACATTCTTGCCTTTGTTACCTGCTATTTATAGGAAATGATCAAGGTCTCTCACCAGACACTTAACTACTCCAATCCAGCCCTAGCTTCTCACTGGTTATGGGCTCATGCTCCAAATGGAAATTTTCTGGCTTGTGCCCAGGGTGTGTTTTCCTGTGTCACTCATATCAACTAGACCTGCCATCTTGTCAGCCTTTTGCTTGATCTCAGCTTGTTCAAGTTTCTCTCTAACAGGATAACAGCCCTCGCTCAGGACCTGGGACCAAGTGAAGGCCATCCTATTACTGCAGGCAACCAACCAGAGGCCTTGCTTACACTGCCCTACCCAGCACAGACCTGGACCCTGAAGACCCCAGCCCCCATTAACTCCTCGATACCCCCATGCCATCAGGAAGTAGCCAGAAAAAACCATGACATCCCTCCACCTTTTATACTCCTTCAAGTTTCCAAATGATGGAAATCTGCTTTGTTCTCATAACTCCATGATACTGCCCTCTCAGCCCAATTCATTTTATGTATCCAAAGATCCTATATGAAGGACTTGCCTCTCCCCTCTTGGCCTGATCATTTTATGTATCTAAAGATGGAATATGAAGGATTGACCCCCATCCTATTGTCCCAGGCCCATACAGACTCCAGGCAAAATCCCAGGTATGTGTGAACTTGTTTGAAGTGCAGGCAGGGCAATCCACCTGAGCCCAGCTGTAAACATCCCATTGTGGCCCAACTGAAAAGCCCCCACCTCCTTTGACCTAGTGGCTTTTTCATTCACCTCTACCTCCTTGCTCAGACCTCCTATAAAAAGCCAGCTCCTGTCCCAACTCTCGGGCACAACCTCCAAACCCGCGAAGGTCTGTGCTCCTTGCTGTTCCTCAATAAATAGTCCTCGCCTGTTGATGATCGAGTCCAGCCTATTCTTTTTCCATTCTCCTCCATTTTCCTAACACCACCTACCTCACTTCCTACCCCCAGACCCTGTTGCTACCTAGACAGTGGAGGTCGCCATGTGCGCTCTCTCTGGGGGAGATGTGGCTCCTCTAATAAACCTTGTAATAATCTTTCTCCTGTGCCTGCCTGCCTCTGCGTGGTCCCCTGGGATGGATGGGATGGATCCTTTCATTCTCATATTTTCTGTTTTTGTGGAGGTTGTTTTATTTAAGACAGGGTCTTGCTACATAGTCCATGCTGGCATTGAGCTCTTTTAAAAAAAAAAAAACTATTGTTATTATAAAAGTGATGTACAGAGGGGTTACAGTTACGTAAGTAATGAGTACATTTGTTTTTGAACAATGTCACCCCTTCCCTCACTCTCTCCCTGTTTTCCCTCCCATTCCTAACCACAAGTGGTATAGTTCATTTCAACATAGTGTCCGGTGAGTGCCACTGCTGCATTTGTTCACCCTTTGTCCCTCCATTTCTGTGCCTCCCCTTAGCCTTGCAAAGAACAAACAGAACAAAAAGGAAAGAAAATAAAACAGCAAAAAAGAAAAACACAGTCTTGTTTTCGTTTCCTGGAGTACATTTGAATAAATATTATTTCATATGAGCAGATGCACATAGGTATTGTGCCTCTGTTCCTCTCTGAAGAGTTTCCTCCTTTGGTCTCACTGTGTGAATAGACTAAACTCTTGTTCCTCCTGCCTTGACCTCCTGAGAGCTGCGATTACAAATGTGGTCACCATATATGGCTAGGGAAAGGTTTTTTCTGGATTTTTTTGTTTTGTTTTTGTTAAATGCTGGTCCTGGGACTTGAACTCAGGACCTGAGAGTTGTCCATAAACTTTTTTCCCCCTCAAACTAGCGTTCTTATCACTTGAGCCACAGTTCCACTTATGACTTTTTTGAGAGCTACCTTGAGATGAGAATCTCACAGACTTTCCTTCCTGGGCTGGTTTCAAATTGCTACTCAATGGAGTAGCACTGTGGCTCAAGTGATAGAGCACTAGCCTTGAGCACCAAGAGGCTCAGGGACAGCATCCAGGCCCTGAGTTCAAGCCCCAGGAATGGCAAAAAAAATCTATCACCACTTTAGGGCTGGCATGTGGCTTATTGGTAGAGTGCCTGCCTAGCATGCTGAAGCCCTGGGTTCAATTCCTCAGTACCACATAAATAGAAAACACCAGAAGTGGTACTGTGGCTCAAGTGGTAGAGTGTTAGCCTCCAGCAAAAAAAAGCAGTTCAGGAACAGTGCCCAGACCCTGAATTCAAGACCCAGGACTGGCAAAAAAAAATTGCTACTCAGCCTTCTGAGTAGCGAAGATTACAGATGTGAGCCACCAGAGCTTGGGAAGGAGAAGGTTTTTTTTTTTAAAAAAAATTCTGGTGGCTCATACCTACAATCCTTAGAAGGATCTAAGGATGGAGGTTTGAAACCAGGCTAAACAAACAAATTTAAGAGATTCTTATCTTCAGCTAACCAGCAAAAAGCCAGAGGTAGAGGAATGGATCAAGTGGTAGAGCACCAATTTTGAGTGAAAAAGCCAAGCAAGAGTTCAAGCACCTGAGTTCAAGCCCCAATCCAGGCATATAAACACAATAACTGGGCTGGGAAGGTGGCTCAGTGGTAGAGTGCTTGCCTTGCAATGCATGAGGCCCTGGGTTCGATTCCTCAGCACCACATAAGCAAAAAAAAGCCGGAAGTGGCGCTGTGGCTCAAGTGGAAGAGCGCTAGCCTTGAGCTGAAGAGCTGAGGGACAGCGCCCAGGCCCAGAGTTCAGGCCCCACAACCGGACCCAAAAAAAAACAAACAAACACAATAACTTATCAAACTAAAGGTAAATTAACATTCAGTGGTAAGAAATAATATACTTTCCCAGTTTCCCAGTTTGCATTTTGCAAAACTTTATTATGATATCACAACTAGGATTTTAAAAAATTAATAGACAACATATCTAAAACCTATATTGTCATACTATTTACATATTATGGATGTATTTCTCCTTATTGGGCTGTTATTTTGTTCATAATTGTAAAACCTAATAACTTAAACAATTAATAGACATTATTTGTTTGTTTCTTGATGACAAGGTCTCATTATGTAGCCCAGGCTGGCTTCAAACTTCTGATTTTACATTAGGGATGGAATTACAGGTGTGCACCACCATGCCTAAATCTAGTCTATCCTAGAGAATGTTCCATGCGCACTTAAGAAAAATGTGTATTATAGGAAGCTGTTCTGTATATTTTGGGTCTAATTGGCCTATAATGAGTTAAATTGACCTATATTGAATATTTCCTTATTGATTTTCTTTTTAGCCTGGGTGCTATCCCTGAGCTCTTTAGCTCACCACTTGAGCCACAGTGCCACTTCCAGTTTTCTGGTGGTGAATTGGAGATAAGAGTCTAATGGGCTTTCCTACCTGGGCTAGCTTCAAATCGAAATCCTCAGATCTCAGCCTCTTAAGTAGCTAGGATTACAGGCGTGAGCCACCGGCTTCTGGCCCAGTTTGTCTCTTTGGACTGGCTATGAACTGCAATCCTTAGATTTCAGATGTAGCTATTTAAATAGCTTGGCTATTTAAATCAAATTTTTTCATGCTGGTCCCGGGGCTTGAACTCGGGGCCTGGCTGTTGTCCCTGAGCTTTTTTTGCTCAAGGCTAGCACTCTACTGCTTGAGCCACAGTGCTACTTTTTGCTTTTTGGTGGTTAATTAGAGATAAACATCTCACAGACTTTCTTGCCTGGGCTGGCTTGGAACCTCAATCCTGAGATATCAACCTGACACTCAGCCACATATTCTTTTTTTTTTCTTTTTCTTCTTATTGTTGGTTTGATCAAGGCTGCATATCTCCTGACGTGGTCCCTAACTGAGCATCTTCTTTGAGCAAAGTCCTGCCAAAAATATGGCCACATATCTCTCAAAATTTTCAGAGACAGTCTAGTCCAAACCCATGTTTAATGTAAAGTTATCAACTCGGTAGAAGCATAATAATGATAAATAAACTACACTGAGATTGTGTACCTACACAAAACAGTTAACAGTTAAATCATAGTGGGTAACATTTTCTACTCGGCAGCAGGCACTTGAATTACTTTCATTTCATAAAGAAGGGAAGAGGCTCCCAAGTGTCATTTGCCCAGGGTCACAGAGCTAATAAATGGCAGACAGGAAATTGCAGCAAGCCCGTCTAACCACAGTCAACCCATGTAACTGCCTCACAGAGCCATCCTGGTTTCCACCAGCCACATTCAAGCAGCCAAAGGTGATCTGCTCTCTCTCTCTCTCTCCCCCCTTTCTCTCTTTCATACACACACACACACACACACACACACACACACACACACACACACACACACACACACAGAGCTTCTTTATCTCCCTTCTTTTTTTCAACTATAAAGGTGATGCACAGTGATCCCTTCTTTTTTTTCTCTAACATATTTACATCCTTATTCCCCCAATTCCTCAGAAATCATTACTCTCAAAAGCTAAGGATTGTGCTAGAATTACCTGGATTAATTTTTCTTTTCCTATATTTAATACTTGCTTGGTATTTTTCACTTGCACCATGCCTAGCCTTAGCATTCCCATTCATTCCATGGGTTGGTTCATAAAATAGCAACGTATTTTTCATAAACTTCCAAACTCATCATTCCATTGATTGAAGAAGAAATCAGTTGACAAAACTCAATTTTACCAGCGCTAAGGGCTCATGCCTGTAATCCTTGCTACTCAGAAGGCTGAGATCTGAGGATCATGGTTCAAAGCCAGACAGGCAGGAATTATTAACCACCAAAAAGTCAGAAGTGAAGCTGTGGTTCAAGTGGTAGAGCATTAGCCTTAAGTGGAAAAAGTGAAGGGAAAGTGCTTATGTTATCAAACAGTATAGAAATAAAGGCAGTAACAGAAGGGGGGAAGCCAGCAGAAGAAACAGTTTATTGCAAATTGAAAGAGAAAGGCCACTCAGAAGAGAAGAAAGGGGCTGGGAAGATGGCTCAGTGGTAGAGCGCTTGCCTTGCATGCATGAGGCCCTCGGTTCGATTCCTCAGCACCACATAAGCAGAAAAAGCCAGAAGTGGGGCTGAGGCTCAAGTGGTAGAGCGCTAGTCTACAGCTGAAGAGCTGAGGGACAGCGCCCAGGCCCAGAGTTCAGGCCCCACGACCAACAAAAACCAAAAAGAGAAAAAAAGAAGAGAGTTTATTGCATAGCAAAAGTAAAGGCCACTTGGAAGAGTGAGTAGTGGAACCCAGGAATTTCAGCTGTTGGTTTTGGGTGTCTCTTATCCTCTCTCTCCCTGAGTCAAGTCTACCCACAAGGGGCTGGGCTCAACTAGTCTAGTTGTTGGGATGATTTTCCAGCAATTAGAAACTGACTAATCAGGGAAGGGTCAGTATCCAGGAATGCTGATAAACACACAATCTGGAGCCTTCCAGCTGGCTTCTGAGTTGGCTCAAGGATCCTGGGGGAGGGTCACAGCATAGCTGTTGTAAGGCCACTTTTAGGACCTTATGGCTCAGACTTATAATCCTAGCTCCTCATAAGTTTGAGCTCTGAGGACTGTAGTTCAAAGCCAACCCGGGCTGGAAAGGTCATGAAACTCTTTTATTTTTTCTGCCAATTCTGGGGCTTGACCTCAGGGCCTGGGCACTATCCCTGAGCTTTTTCTGTTTGTGGTACTGAGGAATCAAACCCAGGGCTTCATTCAGGCAAGACAGTTCTCTACCATTAAGCCACATTCCCAGCCTCTCATGAAATTCTTAGCTCCAATAAACCACCAAAAAGCCAGAAGTAGAGCTGTGGCTCAAGTGGTAGAGCACTAGCCTTGAGCAAAATGTTCAAGGATAGTGCCCAGGCCCTGAGTTCAAGCCCCAGGACCAGCATAAACACAAAAAATCATCAAGCCAGGCTCTGGTGGCTCACTCCTGTAATCCTAGCTACTCAGAAGGCGGAGATCTGAGGATCGTGGTTCAATGCCAGCCCAGGCAGGAAAGTCTGTGAAACTCTTATCTCCAGTTAACCACTAGAAAACCAGAAGTGGTGCTTTGGCTCAAGTGGTAGAGCCCTTTCCTTCAGCTG